TTTATAGCCACACATTTAATGGGTATTAAAACACCAAAACATTAAAAATTTAAATGCACACGCGTCTCGGTCAGCCGACGACGCTGCCGCTGCCGCTGCCGCTGCCGCCGCTGCCGCTGCTGCCGCTGCATTAGTCAGCAAGAAATGAAAAAGAGAGCGTAGCGTCGCGTCGGCCGCCCCAAAAAAAAAAAAAAAATAAAGAAACTTGCAAGAGACCAAACCAAGTCATTGACACCAAAAAATACAACAACAAAAAAGAAGGCAAAACTTAAGCGAAGAAGAAGAAGCTGAAGAATGATACAAAAACTTCAAGAGATGCAAATAATTTTCACGCTCTCTCTCTCTCTCGTTCTCCCTCTCTCTCTCTCTGGCCAGTGCCACAAGCAACTTCCGCATAGAAACGCGCGCACATATGCAATTAGACAAAGCGCCACCTGTCGGCCAGCACTGCCAACGAAGTTCGTGACAATTTGAAAAGTTTTTCTGCTATATGCAAAGTGCACAACAGCAACAACAACAACAACTGCAATAACAATTGCAAATTTTGTTTTCGCATTATTAAAACTTTTTGGCCAGCCAACTGAGCCACGGCCACGCCCCTTCGATCAGCTCGCTTCAATTGAGTTGCTGCAGCTGCAGTCGCATGCATTGGCATTTGCTGTTCGCCGTTGACGCCTTTCGGTCTCTGGCGTGAAGAAGAAAGCAACAACAGTAAAAACAGTAAACACAATAATAACAGAGAAAAGCGAGCTTTATAATTTCGCACAGACTGAGCTAGGGTATAATCAGAGTGCTCTGATAGAAGAGAGTTTTCTGTAATGCAGGTAAATCACGAAAGGGGAGAGGGGGAGGGCAGAGAACATAGAGATGGACTAGGAGAAAAATAAGTTGCTTGTGAGAGAGAGAATAAGAGAGATATAGGATGGAGATTGTAAGTGAAATATAGAGAGTAAGAGAGAAAATATAAGAGAGTGAGAAAGAGAAAGAGAAGGAGAGTCAAAGTGAGAGAGAGAGAAAGAGAGAGAGACGGGACAAAAGAGAGAGAGAGAGAGAGAGAGAGAGAGAGAGAGACGGGACAAGAAAGAGAGAGAGAGAATAAAGAGAAAGTCTGATAACAAATAGTCACAAATATAAAATAATATTTTGTAAAATATATATAAATTTTTTAAAAAATATTAATATATATTTTGTAAAATATATATAAATATTTTTTAAAATATATATAAATATTTTTTAAAATATATATATATATATATTTTGTAAAATATATATAATAATATTTTTTAAAATATATAAATATTTTTTAAAATATATATAAATATTGTTAAAAATATATATAATTTATTTTTTAAATATATATAAATATTTTTAAAATATATGTATATGTATAAATATTTTAAGAAAATATATTTTAATATTTTAAAAATATGTATAAATTGTTCACAAATATATATCAATACTTTAACTGTGTGTAACAAATATTTTAAAAATATATATAATTATTTTAAAAATCTTTATGAATATCTAAAAATATCTGAAAGCATCAGTCTTATAAAATACTACTAAAATAAGCCTCAGACGTAAACATTCCAAATAAAGGTAGGGTACATCGCATTCGGCTTCCACTTTCATATCACTCCTCAAAAATTTGTGCGCGTGAAATAAATGTTCGTTGTATCGTATTTGGGTGGCTTATGCAATTTGTGTGCATGCGGCATGCAGCGGCCGTGTCGCGTGCGGCAGCAGCAATAACAGCAACTGCAACAACAACAACAACAACAGCGAAAACAACGACAAGCTGCAACGTGTTTTTGTTTTTGGTGAAATTGGGTTTAGTGCTCAATTTGAACACCCACCCACGTTCTAGTTTCAGTTTGTTGGCCTCCACAGCTCAAAGCAGTTGCAATTGCTATTGTTGTTGTTGTTGTTGTTGTTGTTGTTGTTGCAACAATTGCTGTCGCAGCTACAGCAACAGCAACAGCAACAGCTGCTGCTGCTGCTGCTGCTGTTAAGCAATTGCAATTATGTTTAATTATGCATTCCACATTGAATTCGTTCTGCTCAGCTTCTATATACGCTCAACCGTTATATTGGACCATATGAACAGCAACAACAACAACAATGGCGAGCAACGCCCCCTTAAAAACAGCAGCAACAACAACAACAACAACAACAACAACAACAATGAAAACGTTTTCTTTTATGCTTTTCTCTATTATTGTTTTCTGTTTCTCATTAATTGATTGATAAACCAATTTCGGGCATAAAAACGAATCGAATGCAGTCAAATGACAACAAACAAGAGCCGAAAACAACAACAACAACAATAATAATCACTTTGACAATCAATGCACAGTAAAACATTTGGAGTTTTTGAATAAGGAAAGGAATTAATATTTTTAAATTAATTTAAGTATTTTTGCTATTAATTTTTTATAATAATTTTTTCTCATTATTTTTTTTATTTTAATTTATTTATTTTTTTTTATTTATTTATTTTTTTTTATTTATTTATTTTTTTTATTTTTTTTAAATTTATTTTTAATTTATTTTTAATTTATTTTTTATTCATTTTTTATTTTTGTTTATTTTTTTTTTGCTTATTTATTTATTTTTTTTTTTTTAATATTTTTTTAAATATTTTAAAAAAATTTTTTTTTTTTAATTATTTTATTAATATTATTAATTTTTGGATTTTCTTTTACTTAATTGTATATTTTTTAATTAATTTATTTTTTATTTATTTTATTTTCCCTCTTTTCATTTACTTATTTATTTTTTATTAATTTTATTAATTCTTGAAAATTCACAAAATGGTTTTTCTTAACAATTTTTCAAATTACTTTTTATTTACTCTAATTAAAAAAAAACAAAAATTTTATTATTTTTATATGTTTCTTTCTGTCCCACTGTGGAACGGCATTTTGGCTTCATTTCCGTCATGCAGCCCACTTCAGATATCATTGAAGCATTTTTCTGACGGGTTGCCCACGTCTCTCCGAAATTAACATAAATATGTTGCACAGATTGCTTTTTTATAGATATATGCATACATATATAATAGGCTTTGCCAGACATGTGAGGCCAGGTGGGCTGGGCTGATGCACACATACCTACATGCATACATATATAAATATATGCATCTGCATATAAAAGTTTCCGTGGGCTGCAGCCGACACTTGAGAGCGCCATTTGGTTTGCTTCGATTCGGTTTGACTCTGGGGTCAGGTCAACGCCTCTTTTATTTGTATATTATGTATTATTGTTGCCTCTGTTGCTTTTATTATTAGTCTTTATTATTATTATTTTTATGAAAGTCGCTCGACTAAACTTTGCTTTGTTGTGCAGCCTCATGAAACAAAAGAAACGCAACTTTTTTATCATTTCAAATGGAATTTTCCACTGGGGTAATTTAAAGCAGAAACAATTTTTCTTCTTTATTGCAGCTGGATGATGATAAGTTTTCGAGTGAAGAATATACAACAATTTATATAAATACAGAAGAGACAGTTGAAACAGTTGGATATTACAATTAAAAATTTAAATAATTATTATAAATAAATACAATTAAAAATATATATTATTTTTGTTTTTTATTATTATTACTCGCATTAATTATTATTATTTATATTTATTATTATTATTATTATTTGCAATTATTATTATTAGGATTTGTATTTATTATTATTATTATTATTTGCATTTATTATTATTATTTGTATTTATTATTATAATTAATAGTATTTATTATTATTATTATTTGTATTTATTATTATTATTATTTGTATTTATTATTAGTTTTATTTTCATTTATTATTCTTAGCAGAAATGGCCTATTTTCTTAGCCTAAATTCTTAACTGATTGTAATATACTTTTCTCAAAAATCGGCAGATATAACAAAAAGTAAAATAAATTGAAATTGAATTGAGATTTTTCCAATTATTTATATATTCATTTTAAAAATATTATTTTTTTAACTATTTTTTTTTTAATACTTATTTTATTTTTTTAATTATATAAAATTTTTATTATTTTTTTAATTTTATATATATATTTTTTAATTATATATATATTTTTTAGTTATATATAAATTTTTGTTAATTATATTTTTTAAAATTATATATTTTTTTTAATCTTTTTTTTTTAATATTTATATTTTTTTATTTTTAGAATATATATATTTATTTGTATTTTAATTTTTTATATATATTTTAAAAAAAATTTTAATTTAATTTTTTTTTTTTTTTTTTAAATGTATTTTTTACTCAAGTCTCAATACTTTTCCGATTCTTCTCTTCTTATTTGCAGTTCCCAACTCTGTATATAGGGTATTTCCCAGCTTCTGCACATGTGCATTTGCAGCACCTTCACACACACACACACACACTCATGCATATATGTATGTACATATATTTGTGTTTTTATCTTTGGTGATCATTTTTGTTGTTATTATTCGCTTTGCTGCTGTTATTGAAATCCGTTTCGCTTCTCTGTTGAGCGCACAATTAGTTCAATGCTCATCGCTGGCAGCCGTCATAACAATTTGCTTCAAAAATCTCCACGCACATATATTTTTATTATAGCTATTATTATCTCTTTTTTTCTGCTTCTTCTTTTTTTTATTTATTAATATTGTTTGTTTTTTTTTTTATTTTTTTTTATGCTACTTTTGCGTTGTGCGAGTCATGTTTTTTTCATAATTGTTGTTTCACTGGCTAAAATCATATTTTTGCAAGCGGGGGCAACGCACTCCAAAGTGTGTGTGTATGTGTGTGAGTGTGTGTGTGCGTGCGAGAGTGTGTGTGTGGCACGCTTATCTAGCGAGGGATAACGGGCGAGGGAGCTGCTACTCGAACGGGTGAAAGCGAACTACCATAAGACACACACACACACTCATACACACTCACACACACTCACACACACTCACATTGCAATTATAGCGCTGCCAATTGCATTTATTAAACCACATGATCAATGAAAAGTTTGGCTAGAGGGAAGCTGCAATTGCAATGGTTCGATTTGCTAGTGGAAAGCATAGAGTAGACCCTGTTTGGAGACGAGGTGAATGGGTCACTGTACTGGCTCAAACAGCCCCAACAATGGGGCTTCAAGTGAGCTAAGCAATGGCCATAATACGGGGTTACACGTCCCAAACCCATTAAATGTATATCATTTATTTTCAGGCATGTCCAAACCTCCATCAACAGCTCATATAATAATATAAGCAAGTCTATTCATGAATCAATTTTTGACTCTTAACTGTGAAACTAAAATATATCCAGGGTATACAAATTCGAGTATAACATATATCAAAATTGCACTAAAAATATAATTATAAATAACATATATCAATATTGAACTATTCCCAAAATATTCAATAAATTCATTTTGAAATAATTTCAGCAAAAAAATTGACAATAAATTTAAGAAAAGAAAGGAAAAAAAAAAACACACAAAGTCAATTCAGTTGTGGCCACTTGACAAGGCAGCAATAATGTTAAATGCTGTTGTTGTTGTTGTTGTTGCTGCTGTTGGCCAAGATTTATGTGGGAATGGGAATTGGCAATGGGGTATGAGAAGAAGCTGTGCCATTGATTGCGTTGGCCACCCTTTTAGGCCAAAACAAAAAACCAGCACAAATCAATTGAATAAGTCATAAGTTGTTGTTGTTGTTGTTGTTGTCGTCGTTGTGGTCCTATTCGCAGCGGAACCGGTTCGTTTGTGGCAGCAATCAGTGCAGCAGGTGGCAAAGCGGCAACAACGAATGGACAGTAGCAGGAGTAAGAGGAGGTAAGAGGTGAAGTAGGAGGAAGACAATTAGTAGGAGTAAGATGAGAGGGAGGGAGAGTCAGGTGAAGCAGATGAGATGTAGCAGGAGGAGGTGAAAGATGAAAGAATGATTAGATTAGTAGAATGAGGAAGAGAGAGGATCAGGCGGACGAGAACGAGACTGAAGGAGTCGAAAAGTGGGTGGAAGTGGAAAAGGAGTTAGACGGAGGTGAAGAGGTAGAGGAAGACGAGGACGACGACTATGAGATGAAAGAAAATGAAGAGGATGAGATGCAGCAGCAATAGAAGAAGCAGGAATAAGGGGAGAAAGAGAAGAGCTAGATGAAAAGAAGGATGCGATAAAGAGGAAGAAGGCCGAGGCGAATGATTTGTAGTAGTAATAGTAGAAGTAGAGTAGAGGGAGAAGATAGGATGAGGACTAACAGGTGGCAAAGCGTGGTGTAGGAGGTGGAGGAGAACGACGACAAGAAGAAGCGAAAGAGGAAGAAGAGGAGAAAACACAGCTGAAGCAGAGGAGTTGGAAGAGCTCTACAAGAGAGTTATTGATGCATTGCCAACCGGTTATGTAAAATCGATGGCAGAACCAACAACAACAACAGCAGCAACAACAACAACAACCATCACAATGAACAACCAACAACGAACAGCCGTCAACAACATTGTTGCATATCATGCATATTAAACACAATCGGAGGCAAAAGAAGAGATCGGGGAACAAGGCGCAAAAGGGGGGTGCCGAAGGGGTAAGTGTTGCAAATTGTTGTAGTTTTCTTTTTGGCAAGCGGAAATGCTGAACGGCATGTCGTGGGGTGGGGCGGGTCAAAAAGGCGGCAACTCGGGGGCCAACAACAATCAACAACAATTAAATTTGATTAACGAACACGAAGAAGAAGGAAAAAAAAAACACTACAAAAAATTAAAGTATTTTGTTGTTGTTGTTGTTGTATTTATTTTGGGACTCACTGAGATCAAAATGCTTGATGCATAAATTATGCTGGCTGTGGCATGCAACATGCGGCACTTGAGCAACAGAGAGAGAGAACACACTCTCAGCAAGTAGGTAGACCACAGAAACCTTGGGAACACTCAAATAAAAGATGAGCATTGTTGTTGTTGCTCTTCCTTAATTCTTTTCGGGGGCCTCAAGTGGCTTTGCCACAGAGAGATCATAAAATGGGAAATGGGAAACAAAAATGGTTTCAAGGTCCCCGAATGCGATAGAGAATCTGTGAATGTATAGCCTTAAAAAAAAAGGAGGGAAGCGAGTTAAGTGCATGGAGTTGAAATCTTAATGCTTTTTAGGGAGATAAACTTGGACTATAGCCTAGAAAGTAGTATTGACTACAGTAGTTGTTAGTAATAAATAAATATAAATAATAATAATAATTCATTTATAAATAAATAGAATTAATCAATAAATAAATATAATAAAAATATAATTTAATAAATATAATAAATAAATATAAATATAAAAATAAAAAATAAATATAATAAATAAAAATCAAAAATATAATTACTAAATAAATAAATATAATAAATAAATAAAATAAATAAATATAATCAAAAATATAATTAATTAATAAATAAATATAATACAAAATATAATCAATTAATGAGTAAATAAAATTAATTAATAAATAAATATAAAACATTTTTAAGTAAACAATTTTTCTTTTATTTCATATAAGGGTTTTTTTTTTCATATAAAGATTTGTTCTTTTATTATTTTTTTTTTTTTTTTCTTATAGCTTAAAAGAATATATATTTATTTTTATAAATTTTCTGAGTTGTTAATAAAAAAATAAATGATTTTTTATACAAATAACATTTCCTTCCTTAATTTTCATTTAAATAAGAAAATAATTCGGTAAGTCACATAGATCTTAAATCAAATTTATATAAAATTTATTTTTTTATAATGCTAAGTAAACTGTTTCAAAATTAGATATGGAATCAGATCATTTAATTTTTCCATTACTACGAGAGGTAACCATATAAGAACTTCTAGTACAATCAATGTTTCAATGTATATACCACACAATATATGATAAGAAACATCAGCATATATTTAAAGTAAGCCTTAAAACCCATCATGCATTGCATTCTGTCCATTCAGAAAAAAAATGCCCCATACTCTAGAGTGCAGGGCATAGAAAAACCTTGATGAGCCGCTTCCTTGATGCTGTGAGTAAGCGACCGCTTGCTACAAATTTAATGAGACCTGGTGAGACCAACAGCAGCAGAAAACTAAAGGCATAAATGTCGCTTAAGCTGCAAACCGGTTCACATACAACAACAACAACAACAATAGTACAACAACAGCCAGACAGAAAAGAGTTGGCAGCTCCTACGTGTCGAGCGCGTTGAACGAAACCGGTTTTCGCTTTGATTTGCTGCTCAGCAGGCAAAACTCTACAAAACTCGACAGCAAAGTCTACACAACTTGAATAACATTTTCATGCGCACAACAGGTACATTTGTTGTTGTGTGTGTGTGATATGCATATACATGATGTATATGTGGGGGTCTGGGGCTGCGGCTGCTGCTGCTGCTGCTGCTGTGTCTTTTGTGCTGCCTCTGCCTGCGTTTGTCTGTTCTGTCTGCCTTGGTCGTTTCTCGGCTCTTCTTTGCAGCGACAACAACAACAATCGCAGCTACATGTGTATTGGTAGAAAGCCAAAAAGAATAACTCAAGCAAATAGCATTTGAGAATTTGCTTTGTCATGTGCCTTTGCGACTGTTTGTGCTCATAAATACAATATACATATATGATATACTATATGTACCCTTTAATATATAGGTATATATATATGTATGTGTGTGTGTGTGTGTGGTATATAAGGCTGTTAAGATGCGCTTGTTTATTATGCTGATTTGTGCCTTTTATGAACAGAACACACACACACACACGCACATTTACACAACGTTCTCTACACAAAGCTTTCTTTGTATGCCCGGCAACATATTCTCTCTTCTTTCTCGCTCTCCCTCTTTGCCTCCTTAAAGCATACCCTACACACTGAGCGAGGGGGTTAATCTTACAGAGCTTATGCTAATATACCCAACAATAACAAGGTCTATTATAGCATGTATTTAAAATGTCATATACATAATTTATAATCGTATTTTTTCTTCTTAGAATATGACAACAAGTCTGGAATACAATATATTCTAAAGACCTGTTAAAGATATATATATATATATTCTTGTATGTGTAATAAGACTTGACCACTTGTAATAAAGGAAAAGATCATGTTGTAAATTTACATATGGAAGCATTGCTCGATATCCATAAGACAGGTTTTTATATGAAATATAATAAATTAAACTAAATGCTTGGCATAAAGATATAAATGTATCTACCAGATACATTGTTCCTTAGGACTAAAGATACTTATGAATCTATATCGAAAGCAACAATCAACCTAAAAATGCAAATGTATCTGGGAAATAATAGCTAACTGTTGACACATAGATACAAAAGAAATCTATAGGCTTTATAGTTCTTCAAAGCTTTATAGTTCTGCAAAATATAATAATATCCCCTAAATAAAATTGTACATCTATTATTATAATAAGTTATTAAACTAGTTGCTATAAAAATACAATTCACATAACAGCTGAATAATTGTAGGATCTAGGTACATCATAGCTAACTTTTTGCTTAAAGATATAAATGTATCTTCAAGTTAAATCATCTACTTTCGGCTATATTTTGAAGCCTTTGTATCTAGAAAATTTATTATAAGAAACGCAACTTTCATATGAAGATACAAATGCATCTCTAAGATACATAAAGAATATGCGAGAAAGTTACTTATGAAATAGAAGAATACTTTGAGAGTCTAAAATAGTTCCAGATGTTTCATCTATTTCTAGCTATCTCTAAGATGTCGACTTCAGAGAAAAGACAAATTTCTGAGCTATGAATGGTAAATATATTTGTCTAATTTATATCCACTGCAATTTCTGATCAAGTCTATGGAACTCATTGAGCTATCCGAATCTATTTGTTACTCCATACAGCTTGATAACTGGTATAAAATAGAGAAAGATATATGATATGAGACATTTATCTATATAACTGTTACCCTATATATTTATTACGAAATATGGCATAATATAATGCGAAATTTCTAATAGATCAGTCCTTATGTAACTTACAATTTAAAGTTTTACAAAATAAATTAAATTATAATATATAAATTAACTATTTATTGCCACATACAAACTCCTCATCCATCCATCTTTATAAATTATTTAAATTGGTTATTTATTGATTTATTGACAGTATATTTTTGTTTATTGATTGCAAAGTTTTTGAACTCTGGAGATCGTTAACTCTTTCAAAATTATATTTATTTATTGCAGAATATATTAATGTCGAATATAATTAGTTCGACTTAAATTAAAACAAAAGCCAGATTTCCTGCTTGAATTTCAAGTTAAATTTATAAGAATAATTTTGTAAATATAAATAAAATGTATATAAAACGTTAAAGTGTAAATGCAATAAATTTAAATTGATGATACAAGAATATAATTATAATTAGAGTATTACAGCTTCATTTCAACTAAAGAACATATTACACATTATATTTCAATTATCGATTATTAATTAATTTATCCAATATTTTTTTAGCTTCTTAAACAGTTGCAAAAAAAAAGCCTGTGTGGATCGCCCTTGGCTAATTATGAGCAATAATTTGATTAATTACCAAATGCGCATTCTATTCGATCCTAAACGAGATAAGAGATCGAAGAGATATACGTGCAAAACTAACTTCAGTACGAGATATATAAATAGAATTGAAGAGTTCGTGCTAGGCACCAACAGTTACCAGTTCTTATAGTTTACCTTTACTTTTATTTCTCATTTTATTTATTTATTAGTATTTTTTTGTTCTTTGGTTATGCCAAAACGAAGTCTAAAACTTAGGGGAAAACCCGAGTCTAGACAAATAGCGCACAAAGCGAGCGTAAATAGAATGGAAGCGAACGGGTGTACAAAAATGAAACAACTGGAAGTAAGCAGATCAATTGAGGAACCTCTCTAGCTGAAAAATATAACTGAGCACGACCTCCAATTAGAGGGGCGGGAAGCGGCAGGCGGTAGGCGGGCAATGGGCATGACATTGCTTTCACTTGGAACGAATCGTAAGATCGAGATTCAGTTAATAACTAGTTAAATAGACGCCACATAGGCCTGTCACATGAAAGAGAGGCAGGCAGAGGGAGAGAGAAAGACACGAAGAGAGAGAGAGAGAGTGAGAGAGAGAGAGAGAGAGAGAGAGAGAGAGAGAGAGAGAGAGAGAGAGAGAGAGTGAGAGATTAATATTATTCGTTTAATTTCTTAGAAATGTTTTTAAATTTCCGTCTTGTATATATGAAATAATTCTTTGAGAAATATTTATTATTATATTTATTTTTTCGAATTTGGAATTTCATTATCATATTTATTTATAATAAAAATTCATATACATATATATATATATGTTTTTTTTTTTTTGTTCCTCTACAATTCGAGCTTCTTTTTATTTAATTTGATTCCATTTCATAGTTTTCCTCATTTGATTTCGTTTCTCATGTCATTTGAAAATTTCCAGCCTATCATTACATTATTCACTCATTCATATTCGATTTGTAATTCCTTTTTAATTCAATTATAATTGATATATAATTAGATTTTATGTTGTACATGAATTTATGTCGAATTTCATATCTATCAATTTCATTTTATGTTGCATTTACCATTATTATTATTATTAGTTTAAATATATTTATCCTTGGGTCTCTTTATATCATGTTTCATTTCCCTAAATTCTATCATAAACAAGCAAATTTCATTTGATTTGTTGTAATACCCAATCCTTTCAATTCCTTCTCTATTCCATAACATATCACGTTTCATCTCATTCAATTCCATTTAAGGCTTCATCGATCTCAAGTCCATCAGTTCTTGAGCCTCTATTATTAGCAATCTGAAAACTCTTACAATTACGTAGTAAGTAAACCCACATAACTCTAGCATAATACGGGCATATCAGCCCCTATAAACACCCTACTTAAAGAAACGACAAAACAACAACTAAAGCCCAAATGAGAGCAGAGATTCAAAGATTACGAACTGCTCGAAATTTGTTAACCTTTTTACGTGATGAGTCAAGCTGAGAAGACTAAAGACGAAAATGTGTTCCACATTTGAAAATAAAGCTCTTTGCCCTTTTTACTTTATCGTAACTAAGTAGATTATATATATATTTGATATACATATATATATAAATATATATGCATGGGTTTTTTGTATAGAAACACAAAAGAATTTTGCTGATATGCAAACATATGCCGCATTGAAGCCAAGCTAGAGAGCTCTCTAGCTTTTTAGCTTATCTTATCACACCAAAACGCATTTGATAATCAAATATATATGTATGTATGAATGAATATACACATATACATACCCATATATGTGTTTGTATGGCAATGTGTTATCAAAAGCGAGGGCGAATGCTCAAAATGCTCAAATTGTATTGCAGTTAGAACTTGGTCGAGTCGATAAGATAACAATTGGAAATACATATATGTATGTATAGAAATGTGTATCAAAAACTTATATACCCGTAGGACAATCGATTTTATTTTAAGGCCGTCGCAATTTGTTGTAGAAATTAGAAATTGGGCAAGTCTAAGGCGTAATTTCTGCATAAAAAGAATAGAAACGAAGAAAGGTGGAAAAACCCTTATCAGCATAGAAATGGGACACAGGCAAGTTCTCCATCGATTCAGTTGTTAGTCATAAGTTATATACAGGGTATTTGGCCACCCAGCCAGGTGCTTATCAGATATCAAGAGAGGTTTTCAAGTGCTCAAAACTAAT